AGAAGCACAGGCGTGTGGCTATGAAATCCGACATCCCCCTTACTCTCCTGACCTTGCACCCCCATTTCATTTCTTTCTAGCCATGAATTTGTTTTTGAAAGAAAAGCGTTTTCCAGATGATACAGCCTTGATTTCTGAAGTTACGATGTGGTTGGAGGACCAACCTGGGGTGTTCTACAAAAACAGTGTCCAGAGCAGCATCAAACGATGGGAGAAATGCACAACTCTGGGTCGTTCCCATGTAGAGAAAGACTAATAACTGTGCAAAGTTTCATTAATCTCCTGCTATGGGAAATGGGTCAGGGGCATTACTCGTACATGGTGAAATCAGTATTACAATACATGGTGTAGTCAGTGAGAAAAAGATACATGGACCTCACTCAATTAGGCATCCAGCCAGAAAGTGACGTCAGTATTACAATACATAGTGTAATCAGTGAGAGAAAGATATATGGACCCCACTCAAGGCATACAGCCCAAAAACAATGTTAGTATTAAAATACAAGGTGAAATCAGTGAGAGAAAGATATATAGACTTGGGCACAGACTAGAAGAAAAGAATTTCATAGTTAAATAGTTCATGTTATAAGAACATTACTACATTATGATATTTTAAAAAAATGAATGTTGAGGCATGTTTTATAGAAACACTTTGATTTGATAGTTTGCAAAAGATACGAGGCATTATATGCGAGGTTATGATATCGAATCAGATTAAAAATGGCAACCTCATGGAATGGGGAGATAAGAATATTTATAATAATGAAACGAAATTATTTCTTTTGTCATTCAGAATTAGAAACACATCTTAATTACTGGACACACCTATTGTGGGTATGATTCTCTGACATTCAAGGGCAGAGAATACATTTTCGTCAATTACTAAGATTACTGAGACTCCGATACAATTATTATGTTAACCTTTAGAGATGCAACTAAATCCAATCATAATGTCGTTAATATAATTCTTATAGCTGATTATTTATGAACTCTGTGATTTCCAGAAAATATGAGCACAACCTGATTGAATTTGAAATTGTAAACTCAGTATGCTACAGAAAGCAGATACATGTGAACTTTCTTTAAATGCCATAAGCTATTGAGTCATATATACGAGTCATTCTAGCTGCAAGTATCCTTGACCAATGAACTGATGACCTGTTGTCATCACCTCCCAATGTTTGTGGTACATTAGTAATATAGATTCATAGCTTAAGTACATACAGATTGTTGATAATCCTCTCAGATACGAATAATCACACACACCAGGTTAATTCCTTGTCAATAACATTGTATCCACCTCGCCCAATCCATGTCATGTACAGCCTCTGACTCTCATTTAGAAACAAGGTGGAACAAATATTAAACTTTCTTAAACTTAGACCAATGTTTCCCATTCAATTGCCTGAATGGGTGAGCATAAGCATTATAATATATGAATAATTAAAATTTATGTTATATAACAAGTCGTTTTTAGAAATATTATCTCGCAGTATTTGTGTGAAATACCGTAATCATTTGTTCATAACCTCCAAAGAATGTTTTGAAAGTTTCAACTTATTTGTATTCTGAGTAACTTTGCGTCACAATCTACAAGGCCAGTGAGCTATGTCTATTAGGAACATGATATGTTTATATGATATATGTGTTTTTGTAAAGTTTCGACTCTAGATGGACATTACTTGATATATAAAGCTAATTCAAATGATCTCCCTAGATTACATGGTAACATGCAGTCTTTACTTTATGAGTATTGTTCACATTGCATTATATGACCTAAAATATGACACTAAACAATTACACAAATCAATGCAACCACTGAGTATATTTACGCCACTTTTAGACATGTGACTGATTGTCAGCTGATTCCTTTACGCCTGTAAATCTACACTTGTCTCTTCGTGTGTATGTCGATTAACAATTATTTTTGTTTTAGGCATGGAAGTCTGTAACAAATTATTAAAACCTATGAAAACAAAAAAAATAACAGGGAAATCATCGAACATGCTTCGTTGCATGCCATGATCACCAAAGCGTAGATTTAAAAAAAAACAATATGACTGTTTAAAAATACTTTCTAAAATAGTGCTTATCACTCTTTAAAATTTTCTGAGAAAAAAATTCTGGCATACTCGACATATGGCTAACATTACACATGAGTTTAACTTATTATTATAAGCCACACAAACACTGTTAAAATAATACTTAATGAGATAAGCCCATACATAAGCACAATCAACATTCAATTTGGAGGAATATTTGCAAAATGATTATATTCCACTTCAAGAGAACATTAGCATAAATATTACCTGTGAAAGAGCCAAATTTGGAACTGTACATTTACATAGATAGAAGCACAACCAAAGAGTATTTTCTCAAATAATTTCGACACGGTAGAGGCGATTACAAAGGGATGATAATTATCTTTCAATGTAATGTCTTTAGATTTGTCTAATAAATAAAAGTTTCAGTAAGCTTGTCTGGCATATAGCCATAAACTGTAATAGAAGTAAGACAGAAGGCGATTAGAACACACAACTTATTATTCGCTTATTATTTTAAATATTCCCGAAGCCATATCACATGACAGTTTACCGATTGCAGCTTTAGAATTTAAAGATCATTGCGTGATCGAAAGACAATTCACTAAATGGTTCATATTTGCTTTGAAGTGATCTTCTCACATACATGAAATATCATCATGGCCTCAAGTATCACCAATGTTGTTGGATATTTGAGAACTACTAGCACTCAATTTCACTAAATGCCAGAATTTGGACATTACTTTTTAAGATAACAATTATAGTTTGCCTTAAAGATGTAGTAGAGGTTTTTTACTCGAAAATATCAAATATTCTCTTAATCGAATATATAAAGCATGCATTCAACTAGAAAAAAACAATTCTAGAGATGGTTTAAGTAGGTAATACTTTTTGAGCAAATCCGAGATACAGTGTGTTTTATGTTTTTGTGATTTTTCATGCTTAAGTAAACATCGGTATTTGGGGTTAGTCTAGAGAGTTGATCTCGTCTCCCAGCTGCTCCATGATGATGATTTTTGGCATAGGTATTCTGCGATAGCTGCTAATGACATCTGGCAAAGATGGTTTGTCTCCCACTCTGACTTTAGAAAATATGACACAACTCTCCCCTTTGCTAACTCTGACACAGGGTAGCATATTTCAAAACAACGTTGACGATATTTTTAAAAAGTGTTACGAGGTAAAAATCTACGTCACGCAACAGTAGGAAAATTTAATTCAAACCTTTTATTGTAACTCTAAGTACCACGAACATCATTTCGTTTTTCCCAAAATAACACCTCTCTATTTGCACAGTGATCATGTGATCACACGGTTCCGTTTTTTGTTGGAATATTTATATCATATTATTTGAAAAATAAGCTTTCTAAAAATATATCACTTGATGGGATTCAAAAAATATGTTACTACAGAAATGTGCTATGCAATTGCAATAGCAAAAACCTCTACTACATCCTTAATATGATTCAAGTTATAGTGCAAATCTTGAAATGCCACACTTTACACAAAAGAATCTTGTAATGTCACACTTTACACAAAGGAATCTTGTAATGCCACACTTTACACA